ATCAATTATTGTTTGGAAGCTTCCATTCATGGCCCAGCATCCTTGTGTGGGCAGGGTGGATCTTCTCATGTTGAACGTGCTGGAGTAAAGTTTTTCTTTGCGAGCAAGGCTGGAGCAGTAGAAATTCGAGATACGACTGTTTCATCAGGGCAATTTTCTGAATTTGTATTCACAGTCTACTAAATATTATTCACATTTACATGTTTTTTTCTTAGTGTATGAAATGTCATCAAAAGGAATCTTTTCGCCATGACAGGTGTCTAGATCATGGCAAATTAATGGATTGTTAAGAAAGTAAAATATAGCTATATTGCAGTTGATTTATAAGCTGTGGAGACGTGGCTTTGGAAGAAATATGAGTAAATTACTTAGTACAAATAAAGTTGCCCTTACTTTCGGCCATCAAACTCTTGTCACAATTCTATGTTAACCAAGCTTTAATTGAACCCGTCTGGAAGGCATGGACACTTAACTATGCCTACTGATTTAGAATACAGCACCTATGGTTTCAATAAAAGTGATGTAATATTTTGGAACATTAATTACTCCTGCCTATAGCTCAGAGACTTAGCAATCTCTTTGCAATGCAAATGTTCATTGTGATTCTCTTTGAGAATACATAATTTCATTTTATAGATCGCTACCGCCGGGCTTCGCTATATACTTACTCAAGCGTCTCACTCGCAGTCTAATGTAGCAGAGAAACGTTGCCATTATTACCTCCTCGTCTGCTCCCGGGCGTCTTAAGCACACGGGCTTTCTAAGCTCTTCTGGTTCAATTTGTGAAAAACAAGACCGTCTGCAAATTATATCTGAAGTCGTTTAATATGATCTCAATGAAATTATTTGCAACGTATCGTAGTCACAATTTTTTTGAGCACAAGGGCCGCTCCATTTGCATGAGCTGCGAATACTGTGGGTACAAAAAAAATGTAAGAAACGGCAAGTTCAAATCGTGTTTATTTCCAGGTCAGTACATAAAGCAGTATTGCACCTAAGACTCTAAGAGGCATATCTGTTCAATTTTTGCGCTCGAACATAAAATTATATCCTCTCGCCACCGTGTAATATCCTCTATATATCG